TTTGAGAGCCTTTAGCACCGACAGATAAGCATCTTCTATTTTTTTTTACTTTCCAACAATGGCAATTTTAACCTCATCTAATTTTTTTTTTTCTCTGTTGATAATAAGAATAATGAAGAAAAAAAATTTTTTTTTAATTGTTAGTTATTAGTGTAAGTTTCTTGTAAACATTTTTTTTTTATTGTGATTGCTATACAGTGTTTAATAAAAAAGATTTTTTTTTACTTTATTTGTTTATAAATGTATAAAGTTGTTAATTTTTTTTTTATAATAAACAATCATAATAATACTGATATTATCATTTTTTTTTTTATATACTGTAAAATACTTTAAAACCAGAATGTAATTTTTTTTTCAATAATAATGATAATAATAATGATAGTAATATTGTTTTTTTTTATGATATTAATCATGATAATAATTATAATACAAATTTTTTTTTTTTTAACAATAACAATACTCAAATATTTCACTATTGTTTTTTTTTAATTCTTTAACAATAAATACATATATGTAGTCATTGACATAACTCAGTCAAATGAAAAAGACCCTTAACACATATAGTTCAATATTGATACCTTTCTGCCAGCTCTCTCCAGTGACTCATAAAATGTTTAGGTCTGACTGGTGACTTAAGGTGGACGTTCAGTCTTTCAGCAAAAAATTGCACCAACTTTTGATCATTGAGCAGCAACGGGACTCTGTATATTGATTGACAGTCATGGACATCTATAACCTGGTCWGGAGACACATGGCAAAACAGAGAAACCTTCTGCTTTACAGAGGAGGAGATCTGGGTCCTACATCGACACATTATCTGAAAAAATAGGAACTTTGTATTATTTTTTTATTTTCTGACTTCAACAAAACTTTGTACTAGGCAATAATCATCCCCAGGCAGGGAAGTGAGGGGTGGTGACATGCCAGAAGAACCTCAAAACCCTGAAATTCCGTAAAAATGTTTTGTATTTTGTCATACCCTACCCCTTTTAGAATGGTTTTTCTTACCAGATCAGGGCTAAGTCCAAGACCTCGCAGCTCTCTCACACTATTCTGTGTTGGCTTAGTCTTTTGTTCACCGGTTGCTGTAGGCTAAAATCACAGATAAAGCAATGTATTGACAGCTTTTAATTGAATTAAAGTCAATCAATTGTACATCAAAAATTAAGTCAGTCAGTCAGTAGTCAAAATCAGTCA